TATTCTACATATCTCGAAAACGAAAAGAAATCTCTGAATAGTTGTTGAACAAAGAGTCTTTAAAATCACAAGACCTTTCATTTGATATCAAGAAAAAGGGGCTGACCCCTCAAATTAGGGGCTGAGAGGGGCCAAAAGTCTTTAATCTATAACTCTTTAAATATCAATATTTTGTTATCAGTTACTGAAGCAAAAATGTTCATCTTAATAATTTGTAACTATATATTATAATATAAAGATCATATGTTGAATAATAAGGGGCCAAAAGGGGCCAGAATGCTAAATATTTGACGCTTTATATCTCAACAAGGGGAGATATTTGAAAAAAGCAATATTGAACAAAAGATGTTCAGAATAATGATCTTAACAATATGCATCATTTCAATTTTTTGCAAAACGGCCCCATTAGGGATTTGAGGGGTTGGCCCCTAAATATTTCTATTCCACATATCTCGAAAACGAGAAGAAACTTCTGAATAGTTGTGGAACAAAAAATGTTTAAAATCACAAGTTTTTTCATTTGATATCAAGAAAAAGGGGCTGACCCTTCAAAGTAGGGGCTCAGAGGGGTCAAAAGACTAATATGTAACTCTTCAATGATCAAGAATTTGTTATCAATTACTGAAGCAAAAATGCTTAACTTAATTATATGCAACAATATGTAGTAAAATTTTGATTCTCTATTGCGTAATTAGCAGCCATAAGGGGCCAGAATGTTAACTCTTTTGCGCTTCCTATCTCGAAAAGGGGAAACATTTTGAAAAGCAATATTGAACAAAAGATGTTCAAGATTATGTTATTTAAATCAAAAAAAATAAATCTAAGGGGGGAAACAAAAACTTAATCAAAATCACATCTCATCTCATCGAAAAATCGGACGGAAGACCTACTCGTTGCCCGCAACGAGATCTCATCTAGTTATTATTAGGGTCTTTCGTCTCCAACGGAAGACCCTTCTATTATTCTATTGTTTCTTTTTCACTTTTATTATTATTATTATTATTATTTTCTGTCCAAATTTTGTGCAGACGATTTCTCAGAGATGGTTGGATGGATTCACTTGAAATTTTCAGAGATGATGTATCATGATCTAAACCTTATTCATTTTTTTTATTTTTTGGAAATTCACTTCCGGTCGGAAGTTATCGCCCTTTAATCGAATTTTTAGTGACCATTTTGTCTACACAAAAACTCAAAAACGACAAAAGCTAGAGTGCTGAAATTTTCAGTGATAATAGAGGACATGTTCTAGTTGTGCACCTCAGTTTTCAAATTTTCTGGAAGTGCCTAGTATGGAAGCTTGGTAGGGGTCAAAATTTAGGACATGAATCAGGAGTGAATTTTCGAGACATTTTTTATCATATCTTCAAAACTATGAATATTTTCTTAAGACACATTGAACAGAAATTGTGCAGAATTACTAGATCTTTTATATGATATCAAGAAAAAAGGGCTGACTCATCACATTAGGGGCCAAAAGGGGCAAAAAGTCTTAAATCCATAACTCTTTAACGATCAATATTTTGTTATACATTACTGAAGCAAAAACGTTTATCTGAACAATCTACAAATATATATTATAATAAAAATCTCATATGTTACATAATTAAGGGCCATAAGGGGCCAGAATGCTAAATCTTTGACGCTTTATATCTCGAAAGTGGGAAATATTTTGATAAGCAATATTGAACAAAAGATGTTCAAAATAATGTTCTAAACAATATGCAACCTTTCAATATTTGCTAAACGTCCCCATTAAGGAGTTGAAGGGCCGGCCCCTAAATATTTCTTTTGCATATATCTCAGTAACGAAAAAGAATATCTGAATAGTTGTTGAACAAAATGTGTTCAAAATCATAAGAGCTTTAAGGTGAAATCAAGAAAAAGGGGCTGGCCCCTCAAAATCGGGGCCAAGAGGGGCAAAAAGTCTTTCATCAATAACTCTTTAACGATCAATATTTTGTTATACATTACTGCAGCAAAAATGTTTATCTGAACAACCTACAACTATATATTATAATAAAAATCTCATATGTTACAAAATTAGGGGCCATAAGGGGCCAGAATGCTAAATCTTTGACGCTTTATATCTCGAAAGTGGGAAATATTTTGATAAGCAATATTGAACAAAAGATGTTTAAAATAATGTTCTAAACAATATGCAACCTTTCAATATTTGCTAAACATCCCCATTAAGGAGTTGAAGGGCCGGCCCCTAAATATTTCTTTTGCATATATCTCAGTAATGAAAAAGAATTTCTGAATAGTTGTTGAACAAAATGTGTTCAAAATCATAAGAGCTTTAAGGTGAAATCAAGAAAAAGGGGCTGGCCCCTAAAAATCGGGGCCAAGAGGGGCCGAAAGTCTTTCATCAATAACTCTTTAACGATCAATATTTTGTAAAATATTACTGCAGCAAAAATGTTTATCTGAGCAAACTACAACTATATATTATGTTATTCAAATCACATGTTACAGAATTAGGGGTCATGAGGGGCAGAAATACTAAATCTTTGACGCTTTATATCTCGAAAGTGGGAAATATTTTGCTAAGCAATATTGAATAAAAGATGTTCACAATAATGTTCTGAACAATATGTAACCTTTCAATTTTTGCTAAACGTCTCCATTAAGGAGTTGAAGGGCCGGCCCCTAAATATTTCTTTTGCACATATATTGGAAACGAAAAAGAATTTCTGAATAGTTGTTGAACAAAAAGTGTTCAAAATCATAAGTGCTTTAAGGTGATATCAAGAAAAATGGACTTGCCCCTCAAAATAAGGGCTGATAGGGGCCAAAAGTCTTTCATCAATAACTCTTAAACGATCAATATTTTGTAATACATTACTAAGGCAGAATAGATCATCTTCACACTCCTTAACTATATCACGTTGTTGGCATCATATGTTTCGTTATAAGGGGACAATAGGGGCCAGAATGCTAAATCTTTGATGTTAAAAAGGGACATTAGGGGCCAGAATGCTAAATCTTTGACGCTTTATATCTCGAAAGTGGGAAATATCTTGATAAGCAATATTGAATAAAAGATGTTCACAATAACGTTCTGAACAATATGTTACCTTTCAATTTTTGCTGAACGTTCCCATTAAGGAGTTGAAGGGCCGGCCCCTATTATTTCTTTTGCAGATATTTCGGAAACGAAAAAAAAATGTAGAATAGTTGTTGAACAAAAAGTGTTCAAAATCATGAGAGCTGTAAGAAGATAGCAAGAAAATAGGGCTGGCCCCTCAAAATAGGGACCAAGACGGGCCGAAAGTCTTTAATCTATAATCTTTAATGATCAACATTTTGTTATAGATTACTGAAGCAAAATTGTTCGTCTTAACAATTTATTTATATCATTATATTTGAACAAAAGTTTCAGTCAAATTCTTATCTCATCTTATCAAAAATCGGACGGAAGACCCACTCGTTGCTCGCAACGAGATCGCATCTAGTTATTTGTAACAATCACTATTATACTTGTACATATTATTTGTATTTCCCGCGTTTTGTCCCTATGCCCCATCTACCCATAAGCCCTTGCAAAATAGCTTGGCCGACCAGAACAATTGAGGCCTGGTCATTCCCGGCAGAGAAGCGTAGCTGCAGACACGTTTCTAAGTGTACATGCAAATAGATGCCATACAATCAGTATCTTGGCTTTGGCACGGAGACAGGTCCGTGGTAAGTATTTACTTATAATATTATTGATATTCGTTATGTATATAGTTTTTTTTAAGTTAATTTATTACTTAATACGTATTCGTTCTTATTTCTGAACTTGGCCAGCTCTCACAATTTTACCTGTTGTTCAGTCAGGTGTGACGGTTAGCGAGAGTGTTCGAATGGCTTTTGTATTATATCGATAGAGTTTAAAGGTGCTATTGTACGCAATTTTCTTGTATTCAGATTTGTTACATTATGTGAAATATTTTGTCCATTTAAATTTTGGTTTAAATGTCTGGGCGGAAGTGAATGACCGGAAGTCGAAAGTAAGGTGCGCCATGTTGGCAATAATTTGTTTTGACTTATGTTAACTGGTAACCATTATAATTTATACCTATTGATTGATTTATTTATTTATGAGAATGAATTGCCAAACATAGTAGTGTTGCCAAACATTATTTAGTGAAACATGTGACTTAAAAATATTCGTCATTGTAGCGTCAAGGACACTGGTATGACATGTGCTGGATACATGCACTAAGCTGAGGGGATCGTCGAGACACAGCGAAAGGTTCCAGGATTAAGGCCAGGAAGGATGCTGTGTGTGGTTAAAGATTCAGTTATGGTGGACAGATACAGATAAGTCAATCCACGTAACATTGTATTAGCTCGATAAACGAACACTGAAGAATTGGCAAATCTGATATATGATTTCATTCCTGCATCGAGGATGAGGATGATGATGTTGACGAAGATGATGTTGATGATGATGATGATGATGATGACAAGGATAATTATTAATCTGTGAACATGTTTGGCATTGATACTTTGAGTGAAATCTATACCCGGGGTTAATTGGTTAATTGTCTGATTATTGGTTACCAATTGCTATTATTTTTTTTTTTTGGTTTAATAGTGTGGAAGAGTGTGTGGATCAGAGTGTGGTTGTCTGTTTGAAATCTTCTTTATTATTATTATTATTTTTTTGTAAATAAATTTATTAAAACTTAGTTGAATTTGTGTGATTTTTGGAGATAGCCAGCTTGACCACGTGACATTTGGTGGCAGCGGTGGGATTGCTGACCCTCTCCAAATTACACATTTTCACTATTTAGGTGAAGGTTTGCCAAGTAGATGTAAATAGGTTAGGTTGCTCTAGTAGTAGTTAGTCTTGGGATTCCTGTACATAGTAAGATAGAGGTAAGTGAAAGAATGGTTCTCTCTTAAGTAGGTCAAAGGTAAGGTGGTGTTAGACATATTTATTAATTGGAAAGTATATTATCCTTGGATTATTAAAGTTTTGGTAAGGTGGCTCAGTACTTATAGGCACGATGTCTACCATCAAGGAGATGAAGGAGCTCTTGGAAATTGGGACGCAGATGGGACTCAAGGATGCAGAACTTCAACAGTTTGTGAATAATGAACAAGCAAGACTCCGAGATGAACGTGAAAAAGATCGTGCAGAACGCATGGCTAAACAAGAACGTGACTTTCAACTAGAATTGGAGATCAAGAGAGAGCAAAACGCTGAGGCTGAACATAAAAGAAAAATAGAAGAGATGGAAATAGATCACAAATTTCAAGTGTTGGCAGCAGAAAGATCACAGAAAGTTCTTGAGTCTACAGCCCTGCATCACCCTGAAACCCAACAACCTGTTAGAGGACCAAAACTACCAGCATTTGATGAGGCAAAAGACAACATCGACGCATATATACAACGCTTTGAAAGATACGCTATCTCACAGAAATGGCAAAGAACAAACTGGGGAGCTCACTTGAGTGCACTTCTAAAAGGAAAAGCGTTGGACGTGTTCGCTAGATTACCACCAGATAGTGCATTGGACTTTGATGAACTTAAAAAAGCACTGATGAAACGTTTCGACATGACTGAGGATGGATTCAGAAAGAAATTCAGATCTTCAAAACCCGATGGGAGTGAAACCTTTCTTCAGTTTTCAACAAGAATCGAAAGTTATCTGGAGAGGTGGATGGAATTAGCGAAAACAAATAAGACATATGAAGGACTCAAAGACTTGATGTTGCGGGAACAATTTATTTTGTGTTGTAACAAAGAACTTTCATTATTCTTGAAAGAACGAATTCCTCCTTCTATTCAGGATATGGCCAGATATGCTGATCAGTTTGTTGAGGCAAGAGCAACTAGTTCATCAGCTGTTACCCAGAGACCTACCTTCGAAAAGAAAGTTTCCATAGGAAAGCAATTCTCTTTTCCAAGCACTAGTGACAGTAGCAAACCCTGTGGTGGAGTCAAGTGTTTTAATTGTGACAAATACGGACACAAGCAGTTTGATTGCCCCTTAAGGAAGTCTTCCGCAACCAAGACAGCAAACACTCTGGAAAAATCTGACAGACCACAAAAACCATCCCGCTATAGTGAGCAACAACAGAGCTTCAACAGATCTGGACGTCGCTTTTCACAGGGGAAAGAACATGATTCTTCTTTTGTTGGTGCCCATAAACCATGGCTACAAAGTGACATTAGTGACATTGATTCCGTTTCTAATGGTGTGATGCCAGTTGTGAAAGGATGTGTTGGAGACAGACTTGTGACAGTGTTAAGAGATACCGGATGTCGTGGTGCGGTGATTCGGAAAAGCTTGGTTACTTCAAACCAAATGACTGGAAAAACTCACAAATGCATGCTGGCTGACGGAAGTATAATAGATGCAGATGTTGCGATAGTTGAAGTTGACACACCATATTTTACTGGAACAATTGAAGTATCGTGCTTTGAAACACCAATGTTTGATCTGATTCTTGGAAATTTTGATGGCGTTCGGAAACCAGACAACCCGGATATTCACTGGATGAAATCAACTAAACCTTCATTTGCTGTTGAGACACGCAGCCAACTAAAGAAAAAGCAGTTACCTTATAAACCATTGAGGGTTCCTGAAACTCTACAAGATGTATCACGGGATGAGATGTTAAGTGAACAGATGAGGGATGATTCATTAAGCAAGAGTTGGGACTTTGCTAAACAAGGGACAGTAAAGGAGCTTGGTGATGGAGGTTCAACTCGGATGTATATACGGAAGCAATTACTCTACAGAGAATTCAGTAGTCCAAAAGTGTCAAATGGAAAGACTTATCGACAGCTTATGGTTCCGAAAAAGTACAGATCACTGGTTATGAAGATGGCTCATGAATGTCTTATGGCAGGCCACTTGGGTGTTAAGAAGACCACAAACAGAATACTAGCAGAATTCTTTTGGCCAGGAGTACAAGCAGACGTCAGGCGATTTTGTCGTTCATGTGACGTGTGCCAACGAACAATACCTAAGGGAAAAGTACCTGCAGTTCCTCTTGGACAAATGCCCGTGATATCAGAACCATTTCAACGCATTGCTGTGGATATTGTTGGTCCACTCCAGCCAATCACAGACAGAGGAAATAGATATATCCTCACTATTATAGACTATGCGACCAGGTATCCAGAAGCTGTGGCACTGCAAGGAATTGAAACTGAACGAGTTGCAGAAGCGCTTGTAGACGTTTTCAGTAGAGTTGGTATTCCATCTGAAATGCTTACAGACCAGGGTTCACAGTTTACATCTGAAGTTATGAAAGAAGTTAGCCGATTGCTGTCACTCAAACGCCTAACTACAACGCCGTATCATCCGATGTGCAACGGCCTTGTTGAAAGATTCAACGGCACGTTGAAGCAGATGCTCAAGCGCATGTGTGCTGAACGCCCTAAAGACTGGGACAAGTACCTCAACGCACTACTCTTTGCTTATCGTGAGATACCTCAAGAGAGCCTTGGATTTTCACCCTTTGAGCTTCTATATGGTCGATCAGTGCGTGGCCCAATGATGATACTGAAGGAACTATGGACCAAGGACATACCAGACAAAGAGGTGAGGACTACATACCAATATATTCTAGATTTAAAGGAAAAACTTGAAGAGACTTGCAAGATTGCTCATCAACAATTGGAAAAAGCAAGGAAGCACCAGAGAAAACATTATAACAAGAGAACAATTGATCGAAGGATGAAAGTTGGTGACTTAGTACTTGTTCTTCTTCCTACAAAGTCAAATAAACTTCTGATGCAATGGCGAGGACCTTACAAAGTTGTACAGAAAGTTGGCGATATGGATTACAAAGTTGAGATGCATGGTAAACTAAAGACACTTCACGCGAATTTGTTGAAAAAGTACATTCCTCGTGAGGAAATACGCTGTGGAGTTCTAACAACTTGCGCCATATCACTAATTGACTTCAGCGAAGAGGGAACACCGGATGAGCAGAATTTAATGATGCTACCAACAGATTCTCAGACAGAAACAGTGTCAGATGTACGTTTCAATGAAGGACTGGATGCGAATAAGCTAGAATCGGTGAAATGTTTGTGTGAGTCGTATGCTGATGTTCTCACTGACGTTCCAGGAATGACTACACTAGTGAAACATAAGATTGAACTGACATCATCAGATCCTATACGGGTGAAGCAGTATCCTATTCCTTTCAATACCGAGAGTGTCATAAAGGAAGAAGTGGAGAAGATGTTACAGTTGAACGTAATAGAACCATCTGTTTCACCATATTCATCACCGGTAGTCATAGCCAGGAAAAAGGACGGAACAAACAGATTCTGCATAGACTTTCGAAGACTAAACTCTGTTACTATTTTCGACGCTGAGCCTATGCCGAACACAGAAAGTATATTTTCAAAGATGGCAGGGAAGAAGTACGTTTCAAAATTGGATTTGAGTAAAGGATACTGGCAAGTTCCTATGGAAGATGAAAGTAAAGCTCTCACAGCCTTCTCAACACCGTCTGGTTTGTATCAATTTCGTACTATGCCATTCGGGTTAGTTAATGCCCCGGCGACGTTTAGCCGACTCATGAGGAAACTTTTACAGGGCATGGTAGGTGTTGATAACTTCATAGACGATATAATCGTATACACAGATACGTGGGAAGAACATCTAATGGCATTGAGAGAGTTATTTACCAGACTTAGGAAAGCAGGACTTACAGCACGACCGTCTAAGTGTTTCATAGGATATGATCAGATCGACTGCTTAGGACACGTAGTAGGTGACCAGAGACTGAAACCAGAGTCAAACAAGATAGAGGCTATTCGAAGTGCACCAGTACCCATGACAAAGAAGCAGGTTAGATCGTTCTTGGGATTGGCAGGATTCTACAGAAAATTCATACCGAACTTTTCAGCCATTGCCGCTCCATTATCAGATTTAACAAAGAAAGGTCAGCCTAACAAAGTAGTTTGGACAGATAATCAACAACGTGCATTCGATACGCTGAAACAGATGTTATGCTCAGAACCAATTCTGAAGCTTCCAGACTTCAGTGAAGTATTCATTTTACGAACAGATGCTGCTGATGACGGGTTAGGAGCAGTTCTTTTGCAGGAGGAACATGGAGAAAAGCTTCCAGTGGCTTACGCAAGCAGAAAATTGCAGCCCAGAGAGAAGTCATACGCTGTTGTAGAGAAGGAATGCTTAGCAGTAGTATGGGGAATTCAGAAGTTCCATCAATATCTATATGGACGTGAGTTTGTATTGGAAACCGACCATCAGCCATTAACATACCTTAACAAGTCCAAAACAGAGAATTCGAGGTTAATGCGCTGGGCTCTACAATTACAACCTTATCGGTTCCGGATAGAAGCTATAAAGGGAAGCCAAAACGTAGGTGCCGATTACCTTAGTCGCCAATAATCAGCTAAGGACAAATTAGTCAGGTTTGTATTAAGAATTTTGTAAATACGTTTAGTTATTTTAAAATTGTTAGGACAAGTTGGTAGTGATTGTTGTTTAAAAAAAAATGTTACCTTTTTTTTTAATTAAGGGGGGAGGTGTGTAACAATCACTATTATACTTGTACATATTATTTGTATTTCCCGCGTTTTGTCCCTATGCCCCATCTACCCATAAGCCCTTGCAAAATAGCTTGGCCGACCAGAACAATTGAGGCCTGGTCATTCCCGGCAGAGAAGCGTAGCTGCAGACACGTTTCTAAGTGTACATGCAAATAGATGCCATACAATCAGTATCTTGGCTTTGGCACGGAGACAGGTCCGTGGTAAGTATTTACTTATAATATTATTGATATTCGTTATGTATATAGTTTTTTTTAAGTAAATTTATTACTTAATACGTATTCGTTCTTATTTCTGAACTTGGCCAGCTCTCACAATTTTACCTGTTGTTCAGTCAGGTGTGACGGTTAGCGAGAGTGTTCGAATGGCTTTTGTATTATATCGATAGAGTTTAAAGGTGCTATTGTACGCAATTTTCTTGTATTCAGATTTGTTACATTATGTGAAATATTTTGTCCATTTAAATTTTGGTTTAAATGTCTGGGCGGAAGTGAATGACCGGAAGTCGAAAGTAAGGTGCGCCATGTTGGCAATAATTTGTTTTGACTTATGTTAACTGGTAACCATTATAATTTATACCTATTGATTGATTTATTTATTTATGAGAATGAATTGCCAAACATAGTAGTGTTGCCAAACATTATTTAGTGAAACATGTGACTTAAAAATATTCGTCATTGTAGCGTCAAGGACACTGGTATGACATGTGCTGGATACATGCACTAAGCTGAGGGGATCGTCGAGACACAGCGAAAGGTTCCAGGATTAAGGCCAGGAAGGATGCTGTGTGTGGTTAAAGATTCAGTTATGGTGGACAGATACAGATAAGTCAATCCACGTAACATTGTATTAGCTCGATAAACGAACACTGAAGAATTGGCAAATCTGATATATGATTTCATTCCTGCATCGAGGATGAGGATGATGATGTTGACGAAGATGATGTTGATGATGATGATGATGATGATGATGATGACAAGGATAATTATTAATCTGTGAACATGTTTGGCATTGATACTTTGAGTGAAATCTATACCCGGGGTTAATTGGTTAATTGTCTGATTATTGGTTACCAATTGCTATTATTTTTTTTTTTGGTTTAATAGTGTGGAAGAGTGTGTGGATCAGAGTGTGGTTGTCTGTTTGAAATCTTCTTTATTATTATTATTATTTTTTTGTAAATAAATTTATTAAAACTTAGTTGAATTTGTGTGATTTTTGGAGATAGCCAGCTTGACCACGTGACACATGTTTCACTAAATAATGAATTGCCAAACATAGTAGTGTTGCCAAACATTATTTAGTGAAACATGTGACTTAAAAATATTCGTCATTGTAGCGTCAAGAACACTGGTATGACATGTGCTAGATACATGCACTAAGCTGAGGGGATCGTCGAGACACAGCGAAAGGTTCCAGGACTAAGCCCGGAAGGATGCTGTGTGTGGTTAAAGATTCAGTTATGGTGGACAGATACAGATAAGTCAATCCACGTAACATTGTATTAGCTCGTTATACGAACACTGACGAAATGGCAAACCTAATGATTTCATTCCTGCATCGAGGATGAGGATGATGATGTTGACGAAGATGATGTTGATGATTATGACAAGGATAATCATGGATCGGTGAACATGTTTGGCAATGATACTTTGAGTGAAATCTATACCCGGGGTTAATTGATTAATTGTCTGATTATTGGTTACCAATTGCTATTATTTTTTTTTTTGTTTTTGTTTAATAGTGTGGAAGAGTGTGTGGATCAGAGTGTGGTTGTCTGTTTGAAATCTTTATTATTATTATTATTTTTTTTTGTAAATAAATTTATTAAAACTTAGTTGAATTTGTGTGATTTTTGGAGATAGCCAGCTTGACCACGTGACATTATTAGGGTCTTCCGTCTTCTGCGGAAGACCCTTCTATTATTCTATTGTTGATTTTTCACTTTTCTTATTATTATTATTATTATTATTCTTTTTTTTTTCCTTACCGATTTTGTGCAGAAGATTTCTCGGAGATCTCTCGATCGATTTGCCTCAAATTTTCAGGGTTAATGCGTTGCTATCTGAAGTTTATAACGCCATGTCAGTTTTTGAAAAATCACTTCCGGTCAGGAGTTATCGCCCTTTGATCGATTTTTACATAGACCTTGTGTCTGCACAAAAACTCAAGAACGACAAATGCTAGAGTGTTGAAACTTTCAGTGGTGATAGAGGACATGTTCTAGATGTGCACCTTGGTTTTCAAATTTTCCGGAAGTGCGCAGTATGGAAGCTCGGTAGGGGTCGAAATTTAGGACGTGATTTATGAGTGAATTTTAGAGACATTTCTTAAAATAACATTTTAAATAGAAGTATTTTGTTAAAACATATTGAACAAAAAGTCTTCAAAATCACAAGACCTTTTCGTTGATATCAAGAAAAAGGGGCTGACCCCTCAAATTAGGGGCTCAGAAGGGCCAAAAGTCTTACATCTGTAACTCTTTAATGATGAATATTTTGTTATAAATTATTGAAGCAAAAATGTTCATCTTAACATTCTGCAACTATATATTATAAAATTTTGATCATATGTTACGTAATAAGGGGCCATAAGGGGCCAGAATGGTAAATCTTTGACAATTTATATCTCGAAAAGGGGAAATATTTTGATAAGCAATATTGAACAAAAGATGTTCAAAATAATGTTCTTAACAATATACACCCTTTTAATTTTTGCAAGACATCCCCATTAAGGACTTGGAGGGCTGGCCCCTAAATATTGTTATTCTATATATCTCTTAAACGAAAGGAAATTTCTGAATAGTTGTTGAACAAAAAGTCTTCAAAATCACAAGACCTTTCATTTGATATCAAGAAAAAGGGGCTGACCCCTCAAATTAGGGGCTCAGAAGGGCCAAAAGTCTTTCATCTATAACTCTTTAATGATGAACATTTTGTTATACGTTATTGAAGCAAAAATGTTCATTTTAACATTTTGCAACTATATATTATAAAATTTTGATCATATGTTACGTAATAAGGGCCATAAGGGGCCAGAATGCTAAATCTTTGACACATTATATCTAGAAAAGGGAAAATATTTTGATAAGCAATATTGAACAAAAGATGTTCAGTATAATG